TCTATTGTCGTGCTGAACAATGATTTTTTCTTACTATGATTATCTTGTTTTCTTTTTTTTTTTGTTTTATTTTTCGATAAATTCTAAAGATTAATCCAAACGTCACGACGAAGGATATATGTAAATCATTTTCTACTTTGATTTCTAGAACAAGTAATCAGAAGAATAAAAAAAAAATATATATATATAAAGTATAATAATTATATATATGAATTATAATAAATTATAATATATTAATTACAATATACATATACATATATATATATATATATATATAAAATAATACTCATAAGAATAATACTCATATATATAAATTATAATAAATTGTAATATATTAATTTATAATTATATGGTATATAATATGTGTGTGAGTATGTGTGTGTATGTACGAAAAAAGAAGACCATGTGACTGTAGAAAAAAGAAAACCATGTGACATATCGATTACATAATAAAAGCAGTAAGAAACACGTAGCCGAGGGTGTCTCGAATGTAAGTAGTCGAATTTACAAGTAGTTACGTATAAATTAAACATACGAATGACTAACATTCAGATTCTTTCGACATTGGTCTTATACTGGTTTAAAAAAATTATTCCGACGAGTGGTAAAGCGTACAGCGAGTTTGTCGCATTTCAAACAGAAGTGAACATCATCTCCTTTTCTCTACTACGCAACGCATCGATTAAAATGGTCTACTATATTTCATCAATGAGGTTATCGCGGAAAAATACTAAAAGTTAGATTTTATCTACGATTTTTGTCAATGTGCTCTTTTTACTTTTTTTTGTCTTTTTTTTTTTGTTTTTTTCTTTTTTCTTTTTTCCTTCTTTCCTAATTATTATTTCATTAAAATCTCGAGAGATAGGAGCAAGTATATTAAATACGTAGTATAATACAGTTACAAAAATAAATAGTACATTACTGTATCAAATACTCTACTTTTGTCTATACATATATATATATATATATATATATATATATATATATATATATATATATATATATATATCGTATTATCGAATGATATGAAAAAATAAAAAAAAAAGAAAAGAGAAGAAAAATTCGTAGTTGAAATAATAACGCTAAAAGATAAACCACAATCGAAACTTGATTTTGCCAAGGTTAATTTCCTCACTTTTTTTTTCTTTGTTTCCTTTTCCTTCCCTCTTTCCACTCTCTCGTTCTCTCTCTCTCTCTCTCTCTCTCTCTCTTTCTTTTTCTCTCTCGACTTTCTCTCTGTCACCTTTGAAACGCTCCGAATCCGTGGATCTCGATAAAACGAGTGCAGACGTGTCGATCGTTTTCGCGTTCCACTTAACGTTCAAGAAGATAAAAAAGAAAAAACAGAAAAAATAAAAGAATAAATAAAAATTATTTCTACACGGCCATATACTTGTTTACCATAAATGCACCCACATACACACACATATATATATATATTTCTTTTTTTCTTTTTTCAAGTTAAATCGATACACGTATGTTGCGAAGTTACGCGATATATGTTACGAGGTTGCAAAACGATTCGATAATTTAATATCAATTAGATGAACGATATTAAATGATTATTCATATAATAAAACAGATTTAGCTTTGCACAAACGTAAATCAAAAGGGCATAAATCAAAAGCATCCGAAATATAAGTTAGGATAAGAAAATTTTCTGGACATTTGTACTTTTACGATATGAAAAAACATAAAAGAAGAAAGTAAAAATGATTGTCATGAAATGTTTCGAAAAATAGTAATTTTTTAAATCACGTAGAGACTTCAAAGGGAATATATACAAAACTATTGACCTATCTTTCATATTTATTTTTTTTTTTTTTTTAAATTGAGACTACGAATTTAGTGTACGATAATTACTCGTATAAGATTTCATCTTATAATTTCAATTTCATTTCGATTATTTCTCTTCGATTGTTTTATCTACTTAAATTTTACTCATGACCGAATACATTATTTCCAATTAACACAGCTATCTGTAAATCGTGCATTTTGATTTACATATCCCCTATCAATTTGACCTCCATATCATTTTCACAGAATTATTTTTCTATATATATATATATATATATATATATATATATATATATATACGCATAATTAACTATGCAATAAATAAATCGTAAATACAAATAGAGCTTTGATTTCGATGAGTAAACTGGGAAAAAAATTGTTTACTGTTACTCGTTCCAAGGACTTATTAATGTTTTGTATATACTAAGTATAAATGAGGTACTTAAGATAAAACCGGATGAATGTAAAACGATATCATTCGACTCGTAAATATCAATCCTCAATCCTATTCCTTTTTTTTAGAAAAATTATTCATAATGTTTTTCTCTATTTTTATTGGTGGATCATTAAATTCTATGTGAATTTTGCGCTCTTTCGAATCTTGACCAAAAAATATTTCGTATAGATGAAAGAAAATATATTTATGTTAATTTTTTAGGTGATTTCTATTTTATAGAATGTAAAAACTTGCGATTACTTAGTA